TGGCTCAGACACCGTCCAAATGCCATGCTTGCCATTCTGGCGCCAGGCCAATTCCCATATGCCTGAAAACTCTTACACATCGACACCCGGCTCCCGAGATCCCCTCTCTGTAGTGTTGCGCACGTGATGGCGGGGTCCGTATCTCCGTACCCGTACCTAGGTACTCTAGCATTAGCTACACACCTGTCCAGTACGTAGCTCATAGGAGGAATTAAACAGTTCCCACAGCGGTACAGTCGAGCATGCAGAGACAGCTGTCCATGCAATGTCCCTTCGCTTAATGCCAACAGAGCGCTCTCGTCGCGTCGCTTACATCGTCACCTTCCCTACTGCGGTTGTCGCTGCTGCTTGTTGAGGTAGTGAGGGAAATAGTGGGGCAAGGCGAGCATCGCGAATACCACGGCTACGCGCCATTGGTGTTGTACGTCCCGAGAACGGCTACGGCGATAGTCATTAGCATGAAAAGTGGGGAGTATGGAAGGTACAGGCAAAGAAGCGGTGGGTGAACACGCTGTCCGGCAGGAAGCGGGAGCGATTGCGTACGATTATTGCTAAGTCAGCCGGACACGGGAGGCATTTATATCGCGACTTCTCTCCCTCGTTTCTCACCCCACCGCACACCACCGATTGTAAACAACAGCCCACTGTCAAGCTTACAATCTCTCTTCCTTCTATCAACCATACCCAGATTTTCCCGGGCCATTGCCCAGCTGTCAAGACGTTTTCCAATCTCCTCAGCTCGTAAGTGCCCCGCCATAACCCCATGGGGACCGCCTTTACTTACACTTGACAGGATCCACAACCCATTCGCCGGCCGACGCACTTCTCCCTCTGGGGCAGCGTCGGATTTAGACTTCCGCAACTAAGTTCACCAACTCAACAAGAACTTAAATCATCATGGCACCACACGCAGACGAACGCGTCGGTCACGCGAATGGGTTCGAGGCGAAGGCAACTCCCAAGGATCTCTTTGTCGTCAGCTCTCCTAACGTAGAATACACCGAGGATACCATCAAGTCAAAGTACACTTACCGTACCACCGACGTTACCAAGAACGACGACGGCAAGTATGTTGCTATCCCCAAGGAGACGCTCTACGATTTCAAGGTCGACCGCAAGATCCCCAAGACTGGTGTTATGCTGGTTGGCTGGGGCGGCAACAACGGTACTACGGTCACGGCCGGCATCATCGCGAACAAGCGTAACCTCGTTTGGGAGACCAAGGAGGGCAAGCGCGGCGCTAACTACTATGGTTCGGTCATCATGGGATCAACCACCAAGCTCGGTGTCGACAGCAAGACTGGTCAAGAGATTCACATCCCATTCCATGACCTCCTGCCTATGGTCCACCCCAACGACCTCGTCGTTGGCGGATGGGACATCAGCGGGATGAACCTTGCTGAAGCCATGGATCGCGCCAAGGTTCTTTCACCGTCCCTCAAGTCTCTTGTTCGCAAGGAGATGAGCGCCATGAAGCCTCTTCCTAGCATCTACTACCCGGACTTCATTGCTGCCAACCAGGAGGAACGTGCCGACAATGTTCTCGAAGGTACCAAGGCTTCCAATGCCCATGTTGAGCAGATCCGCAAGGACATCCGGTAAGCCGAGACTCGATGCATACCAATCCCACCTTTACTGACGATAGTTTAGTGACTTCAAGTCTGCCAACGGTCTCGACAAGGTCATCGTGCAGTGGACTGCCAACACTGAGCGCTATGCGGACATCGTCGAGGGCGTCAACGACACCGCTGACAACCTACTCAAAGCGATCGAATCTGGTCACGAAGAGGTTTCCCCGTCCACTGTCTTTGCTGTGGCCTCTATCCTTGAGGGTGTTCCCTTCATCAACGGTTCTCCCCAGAACACATTCGTTCCTGGTGCTATCCAGCTTGCCGAGAAGCACAATGCCTTCATCGGTGGTGATGACTTCAAGTCGGGTCAGACCAAGATGAAGTCGGCCCTCGTCGACTTCATGATCAGCGCCGGTATCAAGCTCACCTCAATTGCCTCCTATAACCACTTGGGCAACAATGACGGCATGAACCTTAGCTCTCAGAAGCAGTTCCGATCCAAGGAGATCTCCAAGTCCAACGTCGTCGACGACATGGTCGCTGCCAACAACGTCCTGTACAAGGAAGGCGAACATCCCGACCACTGCGTCGTCATCAAGTACATGCCTGCTGTTGGAGACGACAAGCGCGCTCTTGACGAGTACTACGCGGAGATCTTCCTCGACGGCCACCAGACCATCAGCTTGTTCAATGTCTGCGAGGACTCTCTCCTGGCTTCACCTCTGATCATCGATCTGGTCCTGGTCGCTGAGATGATGACTCGTGTCCAATGGAAGGCCCACACTGCCGAAGGCAGCGATGGCAAGTTCAACAACTTCCACAGCGTTCTCAGTGTTCTCAGCTACATGCTCAAGGCTCCTCTCACTCCCCCTGGTACGCCTGTCGTCAACGCTCTTGCCAAGCAGCGCGCAGCTCTCACCAACATCTTCCGCGCCTGCGTTGGTCTTGAGCCTGAGAACGACATGACCTTGGAGCACAAGCTTTTCTAGGTCCTTGGATGAACCGATGGCGAGCATGTCCGATGTGGAGTGGTGCCAGCTCGCAGACGATGCATGAGCTCCAGAAGCACATGCGGCTTACGATTTGATTTGACCAACTCACTACTTTCTTTGAAGCAATAAAAATATGTTTACAAATCTGCACGCATATGCAACATGATCTGTCTCCACTGAGCTAACAGTGATGATCATACCATGCGCTTCATTGCCCATGTATGTGCACATAAGAGAGGCAGCCGATTTTGGCGTGAATGGTGCGACTTCCTCGTCGTGGTTCCGACGCGGGTTGCACCTACGCATACAGCAGGAACGCCCCTGCTTCGATTCTCAACTCAGAACTTACTTCAGATACCTCCACACTAACACCTCCAATTTCCAGCGAACGAGAGAATGCCCGCGTCCTCATCAACACAATCTTACTTTTCATCGTCGCCGACAAAAAGCAGCGATGTCTTCACTACAGGGGAGGTGCAGTCCACTTCTGCGGCAGGAGCGACCACGGCAGGTACATGGGCTGTAATGTATCTCCCTCAATGAACCTCAACCCATCGCTAATGTACGAAAGCCCACTCTCGACTACGAAGAAGCAGACCTAGACACACTTGAGCCTGGTCCTTGCAACCTCACACTCATGGGCCGCATCGTCTACTTCAACGACCAGTCCAAACCCAGCAAATCACACAAAGCAGCCCAAGGATGCATCAAAATCCTGCTCGCAGATGACACCGGGGTACTCACTGTGCGTCTTTGGTATGCTAATACCCAGTACAAGCTCAAGCTGGGACAGCTACTCAGTGTGTGGACGGTGCATATCTCAAACTCTTCAGAGTACAACTCACTGGCACCAAACACTGCGCCGCTGTTCACTACGATATTCCCCGAAGGCGAGAGGCACTGCCATGTCATGGTGCACGAGAATAGCGATGATGGGACGAGGTTCAAAAGACCGTATGGTGTGCGGGACAACAGAGTGCTGGGTGGGTTGATGACGCTGAAGACATTTACTGATGGTGGTTATGATATCGAAGAGCCGAAACTACTGGCATGCGTCAAGAGTATTGGCGCGCGGAAGAAATGTGCGTGTTTCTCCTCTCTGCGGACATCCTCAATCATGATTCACGGCTAACTTTCCAACAGACATAAACCGCAACAGCACAACCTCTGAACTCATAACACTTGGTATCTTCGACGATACATCCGACGGCCTCCTCACACTATACTCCTCCATGTGCGACTCGGCCTCTCTGTTCGTCCCCTCAGAAACCGTCCTCCTTATCTCGAACCCTGGATGGCGCATCGACAAGATGGCCAAGCTCACAATCAGCGGCAACTCACGTGTCGACATCGACCCCGACATGGGTGATGCGCGGCGCTTGAGAGCCCTAGCACAAAGACTGACGAAGAAAGAGCATGTCAACCCGCCGTTCCCCATCGCTGACGATGTGGTCGAGGGCTTCGAGAATGCAGCCGTAAGAGCACTTTACACACTTGCGGACGTGGATGATGTCGCTCGCTCGCTGTCGAGCAAAAGGTCCAAAGAAACTATCGCTGGGTACCTTAGCGTCATCATCACCGAACTCAATATCGTCACGCCGTTCAAACGAAATATGCTCATGAGTAATGAGTGCTGTGGTATACCCATCTTCGCCAACAGCACACAGGTCTTGTGTAAGCAGTGTGAGAAGCTTGTCGGACTGAGAATCAATCCTAGGATAGTAAGTTACATCTACCCTTCGCATACCCCGTTTGCCACATTTTCTTCCCTGACTAATTCTCAACCCTCGCAGCTCGGTCCCCTTCTCGACGAAACCGGCCAGATCAGCAGCGGTAAGCTCATTCTCTCAGACGCCGCGTGGACCCAGCTCCTTGGTCGCTCGCCAGAGCAGCTCGTCGATACCCGTCTCGATGTCCTTCGTTATCTGGAACAGCGCTTGCTGTTCCTGCGCATCTCGATGGGGTTTGCGTTGAGGCTAGAAGATGAGATTGGGAGGCTGGCTGTGTGGTGTGTTAAGAGCTGAGGGAGAATGACCGAAGACGATAGAGATGAAGAGGATCTAAGCTGGATCTAAGGTCCTGGAAACGAGATCTATCAAGATATCTCAAGAATATTCAAGGGCACTACTTTGACCGAATGAATTGCCTGCAATGGCTCAGAATGGGTATGATGGTATTCCTTCTCCAAAACATTTACACGAAAGAGTCTAGAAAACAGAAGGGTATATCGTATCCTCCCAGTCCATTCCCATGCCCGTAAACACCATGCGAAGATGCGTCAGTGGTGTGTCTCTTTAAAACAAGGTGAAAACGGTCAAAGAAAGTGCGCCACATAGATCATTCTCATAAGACCTCCTAGGAGTGTCTGTTCGGATTGCCAATCCTTGCCCGTTCCTGCCGGCAACTTTGTTTGGTATTGAGTGCAGCAAGTTTATTCTTATTGCTCGCCAAGTACACCAGCAAGGCCTCTCAATATATCGCCTACGCCAATCCCTTCTGTGCCCACTCTTTCCTTTGCTTCCCGATCTCGCTCTTCCAACCTCTTTGCCGCGGTACCCAGCACACGATCGGCTACCCGTTCGGCCGTTGCGCGATACTGTTCGATCTTATGAACACCGTCTGCGAAAAGGTCGATGTGCGGTTCTAGCGAGTCGGCGAGGGACGTGAGATGTGATTGTAGTGCTGTAGGCGAAGTGAATGTGAATGCTGACGTTGGTGGTTGTATTTGTGATGACTGGAGGGAGGAAAGTATGGCGGCTTGGGCGGGATCGAGGAGGGACGTGTCGATTTCGGATAGTGTAGTTGTTGATGTCGGTATTGAGGGCGCGGGTGGCGGGGGCTTGGTTTTCGAAGCTGATGCGATGGCTTCCCATGCAGCTTTCTCTTCTTCGAGGCTGCTTCGCTGTTAGCATGGAGCAAATATAGAACACGCGGATTCTGTGACGTACCGCTTGACTTCCTCCTCCAATTCCTCCAGTGTGGCTTTGTTCTTCTCGTTCTGAGGATTCGGCTTCTTTACCACAGGTGGTGGGGCTACTTCTTCCTGTAAAGCTATTAGCGCATGCTCTTGCCTCGATGCAATTGATCCCCATACCCTGCTGAACCAGTCGGAAAGCTCGGGTTTGCTTGCGAAATCGTCTATGAGTTCTTGTTGAATAGCTCGCGCTGTGCTCCTGTCAGTTTCCATCTTGTCCGCCCTGCTTCGCTTAGACATACCAGCCATAATCGCGTTCGCGTTCTTCACGTCGCCTGATGGCTTTGCTGGTAATGCTCGCGACCCACACCATGTCAACAGCTGCTTCATCCGTCGTGGTTCGGGTAGGCTTTGCTCGATGTATTTGTAGAAATCTCGGACTTCGACCTCTGAGTGCGGTAGCGCTGCGACATCGTTAGTATCCACTAATCCCCAGGGGCGCTTTTCCATGCCGTTAGGGTCCTGTGCCCAGCCCTCCTGTGCATCATTGCTTGACTCACCATTCGACTGGCCGCTGTCAATCAGCGAACTTGCCCTTCTCCCTCGCAAGCCTGTGCTACTCCTTCTCGACCCATCTTTGTTGCCGCCTTTCCGCATCTCTTTGTTCCTCGTAATAACTGGGGTATCCGCAAAGGGCAGCATGATCTTTTGGGCGTTGGGATCGCGCTTCTTCGCGACCTGTATCTTGTTGTGTGTCGGCGTTTGCACGCCTGCATACGCGCTCTTAGGCTCTGGCTGCGCCTCTGGAGCTGGTGTGGTCTGCTTCTTCCTTTCCTTCTCCATGGGCGCGGTCTTCTTTGTTCGTGATTTCGCCGGTGGAGGTTCTGTAGACTTGGGTCGCACTTCCAGCTGCCTACTGTCACCAGATATGCGCGCTGAACGCCGACGCTTTCCCGAGTCTGAGGATTCCGGATCGGCTGCCGCGATTGACTGTTTCTTCCGCCGCGCAGTAGATTTGGCCGGTTGCGCTTCGGCAGCGCGCGCGAATGTTGCTGGTTCGTCCTCGGGTATTGGTTCTGGTGCCATCACAGCCTGTGCCTTGGTAGTCCTTCGCGACGACGTGCGACGCGAAAATTGGAAGCCATCATCGTCCTCGTCGTATGCAGCTGCCTTTGCTGTCTTCTTTGGCGCAGCAGTCGCCTTTTTGCTCGTCCCATTCACGTCCGCCTTTGCTCGTTTGGTCGTCGGCGCCGGCGCATCATCGTCGTCGAAGGCTTGTCTTGCGCTCCTTCGTCGCGTCGTGGGTCGGTTTGTTGCCATAGGAAGCGATTGGAGCGGTGGGCGCGCGAAGACGGTAGTCATGAGTCCAGTTGCTGCGTCACGGGAGTTTCGGGGAGTTGAAGTTCGGTCAAAGCGCGTGCATTGGCGCGACAAACGGGCGAGCGCAGACGGGGCGAGCTACGCAGGATGTGCGATCCGCGGGAGGCTGGTACGCGTGCAATTAGGTATGTGCCTGGGTATCCGGGGCTCGTAATGATTTGGCGGTAATGCGAATATCCTTAGGCGTCGGCGTGGAGGGGAACAGTTGTCACACGGGAGCAAGGAAGCTGGTGTGTGCACCTGCCGCCAGCATCATCAAAACAATGGTTTTGGGACTAGCGCGTTCACGTGAGCCTTTAGCGCTCCCCACACCAGTGAACGCTCTCACTTCGGCTGCTCTCACTCGGTCTTGGGTGCAGTAAGCCAAGGTTCAGAAGATGATGGTGGTTGGTAGGATCCGCACCGGCTGCGCTGCATGTATATAAATAAAGTCTTCGTAGGAAGCGATGGTACAGCCGCTCAAAAACGCCCAAGAACAAGCGACTACCCGTGTCGCCAATCCATATGCTCTCATACTTTCATAACCACGTTACTCCAGACACGCCAGAACAATGTTGAATATCCAAGCCTGCCCATTTCCTTTTGTGTATTCCATTTCTTTTGCACTTCAATGGGGTTTATTCTACATCCCAGCTCCAGGCATGGGTCCTTTCACGCCCGGCGGTGCAAAGCTGCCCTCAATGCGGCGTTTCGCGTCCTGCTTCTCTTCATTGGTGGGGTTGTTCTTGCGCATGTCGGGAACATGAGCTGGTCTGTTGGGGCTGTGGCCGATGGACATGCCGACGCGAATCTGTCGTAGTTAGTGAAGCGAACTCATCGCAAGAGGCGACCACTTACAAGAGTCTCGAGAGCCGCGTTTGAATTGTCTACGAGGTCCTCGTCGTATCGCATCTGACCTGGCTCAAAGAGAACCAGCAACGTGCTTCCACCGAATTTGAAGTACCCCAGCTCTTCGGCACGCTTCACGTGCTCACCCTTCTTGCGCGTAATGACGGTGCTACCTACCATCATAGCACCAATGCAGATGACCATGACACGCCCATGGGCGACAGAGTCAATGGGTACTACAACGCGCACGTTTTCGCCGTAGACGTCCAGGGCTGAGCGAATAGCCATTGGGTTGACAGTGTAGTATTCTCCCTCAATCGTCTTCGGTTCATCCATGACACCGTCAACGGGGATGTGGAATCGATGGTAGTCTTGCGGCGCGAGTCGGAAGATACCAAGAGAACCACCGTGGTAGCGCTTTGCGTCCTCAGGGTATGCATCACCAAGCAGTCGCTCGACAGTGAAGTCGCGACCCTTGACCCAGATAGCCTGTGCTGAGTCGATTGTGTTGAAGACTACACTTCGGCAGTCGGAGGGGGAGACGATGACCCTGGGATCATCTGGCGCAGAGCACGGACGCGCACCAGGCTTCAATGCTCTGTAGAAGAACTCGTTAAAGTTCTTGAATTGGTCTGTTGGCAACAACACCTCAGACATGTCAAGCTGATGGAAGTTGATGAAGGGTAAGATTTCCGAGGCTGAAGCAGGATCGTCGTACTTCCTTCCCTGTTTGAAACTGAGAGACTTGAGTAGTTTACGAACTGCGACCAGATTAGTATCTCGCATGTAATCGACAAAATCTGGATGACTTACTTCGCTTCTTTTCCATGCTGTTCGACTTGAGGCCCTTGTACAGCAATCGAATGCCCAGACGGACGTATACGCTCATACGCTCTTCGTTGATCTGCCCTGTAAGGCGATCTTGGACAAGGATGTTGGCCGAATTTGCGCCTAGCTTGTATCCGCCGTATGAGATCTTGGTAATAACCTTAGAGTACCACTTGCGCTGGGCCTGACTCGAAGTGACAAATCCAGCCATGACAATGTTATTAACTTGTCTCCAATCTTGACTCGCGCATGTAGCAATGTGTGTAATGATGTTAGCATCGGACCTCTTGTTCAACTTTGGCTGATGGCAGATGGGACATTCACGGATCTCAATGACATGTTCTTCTCCCTTTTCGTCTGCGAGATCATCAATCTGGATGTTGTCGCCTTCCTCGCCCTCCTTTCCTAGTGTGTTTGTTTCAAGTACTGGGATAGATGTTGTCGAGCTGTCCTGGTTGATGGGTGTGAGCATTCCGGATGCTAACGAGGGAGTCTGCGTGCCCGATGCAAGACCGTTCTTTCGGGAGTCTCTGGCCTCCGTGGCCTGGAGCTGGTCTTCGAGGCAGATGACAGCTTCGTCGAACGTAAGCAGAAGGTCTCCATTGTGAGCATCCGCGAACCGCTCGAAAAAGCTGTCGATGGTCGACTCATGCAGAGTGGAGCCAAGAGTGTCGAGCATGGTAGTCAATTCCACTTTGTCCAGCAGGCCGCTCTCATCGGCATCGTACTGCTTCAGCATAGCTCTCCAAAATTGCTGTCGGAGGGCCTTGTATGGGAGATACTTTGCGCGAATGTAGAGAGTAGAGTTGTGCTTGTTGCCCCAGCGCTCTTTGTCCTTCAGCTCCAATGGCAGAGTATACATCTTCAGATCCTCATCATCTACAGAGGACGGGTTGATATTGACATCGCCAGCGACAGCAAGGTTTCCGTTGGAGTCGGCTGCAGCGTTTGGCGGAGCACCCAGAGCCGCGTTGGATTCTTGCGCAGATAGTGAACCTGTCGAGGTTTCCTTCTTCAGAGACGGCCGGCCTAGACGAGATAGACTGTTGGTTGAAGCAGAACGAGAGATGGGAAGGCGGAAGCGGGATTTCTTAGAACTGCTCGAATCAGAGGGAGAGATACCAGGAGAGTCTGATGGCTCCGGTAGTCTGTAGAGTCCTGTCTCTGGGTCTTCCTGTGGGGCTGTGGAAACGGCCTTTTCGATTGGGAAGTTGACAGTGCCGACATAGTCGTTGCCCGAGAACTTGTCCTTGTCGATGACAGTGAAGTTGACAGAATAATTGGTCTCATGCCGTAAGACTTGGAAGATGAGTTTCTCGTCGAAGACGGGGTTGAGGTTGTGGCTGATGGTCTTGGTACGGTACGTCTTCTTTCCGAGGGAGGTTACGACGAAGGGGTCCATGTCGAAGGTGGTTCTGGTCACTATTCATGTGTAAGTTCAGGCAGTAGCGCGCTGTTGGGGAGACTTACCATTGCGTTGTGGGGGCAGATCGGTGCACTTCTGGATCTCCAGGAAGAGCACACCAGCTATGTCTCCCGTACTGGAGTATTCGTAGGCCTTCTTACCCTTGACCTTCCTCCTAAGCCTGGCCAGCTTGAGCTTCTTCCGCCGCTTCTCCCGCTTCTCGGCCTTCTTGGATTCGTCCTGGGCCTCGTCTGAGCTCGATTCGTCGTCTTCGGCATCGGTGAGGTTGCTGTCGCCGCGCTCTAGGAGGTCTTCGTCGTCTTCATCGGGGCTCGGTGTCTGTCCAGCGATGGCGTAGAACTTCTGGAGGATCTGCTCGGGCGTGGCGGCGAGGTTGAGGGGGTCGATGAGGGAGAACTGGATCTGGATCTCGCCGGAGACAACAGACTTCTTCTTGCCGGAGCGCCGCGACTGCAGCGGAAACCATTGCGGCTCCTGCTTGGTGAGGCCGTTCTGGAACTGCTCCTCGAGTATGACGTCAAACTCGCCCATGTAGTCCTTCCCAAAGCGGTCCTTGTCCCAGCAGACGACCTCGAGCAGGAGGCTCTGCTCGCCGACGATGGGCAGTTCGAGCGTCTCGTTCCATTCCGGGTTCAGCTGCTTGTTTATCGTGGGCGTGGTGAATTTCTCGTCGCCGAGGGAGAGGACGAGGTACTGCGGACATGCACGTCAGCGGGAGTTTGGTAGCAGTTCAGACGGGGCACGACTCACGGGGTCCGAGGTGCCGCTGCGGTCCTTTGCAGCGAGGTCTCTGCCCTGCGTCGCTGTTAGCTGGGGCTCCTCCGCGGGGAAGCATGGGCGGGCGCACTTTGATGACATTGGCCCTCAGGACCAGGCCGGGCGTGGGCTGCTCGTTCATGGCGCGCAGTTTGGGGCTGCCGGTGCGGCTGGCGGGGACTGAGGTTGGGGTGGAATTGGCGCCGTTGGTGTAGCTGCTCTGCTGCTTGAGGCGGTGGGGGAGCGAGAGTTTGCTGGTAAAGGCTGGTCGCGGCATGGTGGGCTACGGCCGGCGTGGCTACGCGTTCAATCGGAACGTGCTGGCCGGACCGCGGTAGCCAAGTGCCTAGGGAGTGCTTGACGTCGCGCCGGCGGTTGGCAGAACGTGGCTCTGAGCATGCAATATCACGAGGTAGAAGCAACAGCAGGAAGGACGCGGTGCGAGTGCTGACGACGGCCAGGTCAAGAGTGAATTGAATTAAGCTTGGGGGCCGCCGCATACCTTAGTGTCGGTACATGTGCACGCGCAGCCAGCTGAAGGAGGGCAGGCCCGCAATGTGTCTCTTGCGGCGTCGATAGGAGCAGCGCCTGCCGGAACTTGCGGCTGGGCCCTCTGGATGTGCCTGTCCCATGTGTGATCGACGACTATGCTCGACTTCTATGCATGGCCCAAGACAAGACGGCCAAAAGCAAATACCGCCCGCTGCCAGTTGCTGCATCTACGCGCGACTCAGCCGCCAATAGTCAGAGCCGAGAACTGTCTTCCATCTCCACCCGAAACCCACCGCAAGGCATCAGGGCAGCCGCAACCAACAAAACTCAGTGCAAGCAGCCCTAATCAGCCCTGCGCGTATTACCTCGATAGCAACCCCTCATTCCGCGCCTACTAGCTATCCGAGCAACCGGCCGCCGTATATATAGCTATGCGCGCAAGCCTGTCACAAATGCCGCATATTCTATGCCGTCTCCTCTGTCTCACTAACGCGTCGCGCTGACGGCTTCCGGGCCAACAACACATCGTATACATCGCGGATACCTATCTCGATTGAGATGCTCCGGGACTATGGTGGACTATTACACTGGGGCTAAATGGGGCTACTTGGGAGAGCTTGCAGCTCTACGCGAACCGTCCTGTAACAAAATC